ACCCATGTGGCCGGCTGGAGCGGCGCTGCGTGCCGTCCCTTTCACTGGAAGGCCAGCGTGTTAGTGAGGAGTCTCCTGTTCATCAGGCCCAGAGCACGTGTGAGCACCTTACTGATTGCAGGTCAGGCTGGGGCCAGGCTACGCTGCAGTAATGAATCAGCCCCAGATGCTTCGTGGACTGACACGTACCCAAAGTTTGATGTGGGTAGGCTGACTTTCCCCTCATTTTAGAGCAAAGGGCCGTGAGGAGAAAGGTCAGCTTCCTGAATGGAGGATGACAGATGTCCTTTCCGGTTATAGTCCATGGGCTGGGACTAGTCACAAGCCCCAGCTGAACGGCCTGGAGGCTCAAAACCTAGGGGACACATGGCTGTGTGATGAGCACTCACAGCTTCTGCCACCGTGGTCATCTCACTGCATGGGGCTTGTGCAAGTTTTGGGTTTTGTGAATTTTACTATGTGCTTTTAGGTTGGTCTCCAGATGGCCATACTTGTTTATTAGAATTATAAGTTTTCAATCCTACTGGTATTTACAATCCCAGTCTTAAGCATATTGAATCTAATGACTTACTGGTTTTTCTTGCCAACGTATTGATGATTTTGGAAAATACTTTTTGAAGGAGAGATTCCTAATGCAATAGGTCTGCTTTGAATATACATACTCCTGTTATTAGAGATTGTATGAGGAACTGATCTAGATCATGCCTTATACAGAATGAATGCTTGGTGAATGTTAATTGAATGGAACTGGATTCACCAGAGATTAGCAACACTTTTAAAATACAGGGTGATATGTGTTTCTGATTTTCATTTTGGTTCTAGTAGAAGAGATTCATTTCTAGTTGAAAAAGGCCTTTGAAACACTGTTGAAATCCAGATCTGGAACAAAACAAACACATGAGCCAGAAAAATTCCAGTCTGACATACTTCTTAAATTTACAAAAATTTTAATCGCCCTCTCATTTTTATTCAGTGTCACATTCTCAATTGATACAAGCTAGCCTAAAGAAAGGTTGGATTCATATATTGGGTCCAATTTCAGAATTTTCATTTTTCTCCTGCAGTATAATTTCTTTCAAACTTAGAATAATTTGTTTCAATCATCTGGGGCCACCACCCACTAGGGGCTACCAGGTTGAGGTCAGGCGTGTTCGTGTGTGTGGAGACGTGTGTGTCTACACGTGTCCTCACACTGGATCGTGGGAGCCTGCACTGGGGAATGGAAGCTCCGTGGAGAACACGAGGCTGGTGGTGGCCTGCTCCTTTCCCTTAATATTCAAGAGGTGACGAAAAAGAATGCATTTTGCTTTCCAGTTTCCTGAGGTGATTGAAATCATTGACCTCCAGGCGAACGTGTGATTGCAGTGTGATCCTCTGTCTAGCAGATCTAGTTCAGGAATAGAACTCACTGATTAGAAAGAGCAGACCACCCTAGTTGTCAGAACGTGTAAGATGGCTTCTTGTAAGCGTTAGCTTACTTGGTAGTCTGAAACCTCACCCGTGATGAGAAGAGACCAACTGTTTCCATTGGTGGACTCTCCTTAGGGCCTTCTGGGGAGAGTCGGCCAGGAAGCCCGGGGCCCCCTGGTTCTCCTGGACCAAGGGGTCCACCAGGTCACCTGGGGGTCCCTGGACCACAGGGTCCGTCTGGCCAGCCTGGATACTGCGACCCTTCCTCGTGTTCTGCCTACGGCGTGGGAGGTAAGTGTCAGCCCTTCGTGGACTTTGAGCAAATCTTACTTAGTACCATAATGGCGGGGGGGAACCTCTGAAAAGCAGATCTGTTTTGAGCAGGAAACAGAGCTCGAATTGCTCCCTACCTTTTAAATTGTCCAGAAGCCTCTCCTGTGAAGTTCAAATTATTTGGAGGTCACCTCTTAAGGGGAAATTTAAAATAGTGCCCATCTCATTCTGCCTTGCTCCCAGATGGCCTCTGACCTCATATGTGATCATTGAGAGACACATCTGATAATTCTTTGGGGCCTCTTCTCCTGTGTTAGTTCTGTGGTGTGGCCATGATGTCCTATTAAATTTTACTCTTGTTTTGAACTTTCCCCATAGTTAGGAGAGACCTGGAGATTCCATTGGGTGACATCCTTCCCACCACATGCATTTTAAATGACCAGGGTTTATTTTAAGAAGCAAAAGTGGCCACACTGGCCTTGCCTCTTATTAACTACTGAACTGAGATTCTGAAAAAATTATGCTTCCTAAGAACATCTGTGGTCTCCAGGCTAGAAGGTTGTATAACGGGACATTTTCTAACATAGTCACTCTTGGAAGTATCATTAGAGAGGTTCAGAGATTGCTTTGGGGCAATAAAGCTATTAGCCGATGAATTGAAGTTTTCTGCTTTATAAGAAGTTTAGCCTTATTTCCCGGAGGGACTGGTCAGAGTCGTGCTGATGTGTTTTTCTCTGTTCGTCTCTTCCCTCCCCATTCTCTCAAACTCCCCTGTCTCTCACTAAGATCTGGTCCCTTACAATGATTACCAACACTGACATGGAGCTCTTCCCCTCTGATTCTCTTGGCGGCAGACACAGAACTGTCCTGCTGACCATGACCACCCAGCCCTGCCCCTGACCACGGGCACGCCTCTCCCCTGCCCACCTGCTTCCCCACCTGCCCACCCTCTCATCTCCTGCCCTCCCTGCTCCAAACACTTACCCGCAATAAGACGGGAGCTCAACCAAGTCGCGTGTCAGTTGTCGCAAAAACCGACTGGTCCGTATCAGCCTGGGCGAAGGTGTAAGTCTGGCTGCCGAGAGTGGCCCCAGACTTCCCCAGGAGCAGTCACTTCACTGTGCCCTCTCCTCGCTCCCGTCGCACACACGTTGCTGGGCGTCTTTCTTCCCGGCGCCCTGCTGCCTCTCTCTCCTCTGATCACCCCCCTCTGCCTCCTGTCCCCTGGTGTTGGACTTCTAACATGAGGTTGGTTTTTAAATTTTATTTTTCTTTCGTCACTCTGCTGATATTCGGGTTTTCTTTTGTAAATAAAACATCATATTTAAGCAGTTTGGCTAACCATTTCTGCGGTGCGCCTGACCCTTCTTTTACTAACCATCTGGAACCTCCTGGAAAAGGTGCGCACAGCCTGCTGGAGCGGGGCGCTCTCACTTTCTACCCAAGCAGGATATCTCTGTACTTTAGAGACCAAACCTATGCCTCTGCGGATCCAAAGGAGGGGAGGACACCAACCTGTGGCTCCTGGGTCCTGTCAAGCCCCCACCCCACTCTCCCCCTCCAGCTCCCCATCCTGACCAGCCAGAGTTCACCCCTGTCCAGGATGAGCTGGAGGCCATAGAGCTCTGGGGCTCTGGGATCTGACAGTCTCGGCAGAGCTTGGAGGACCGACCACGAAGGCGCGTAAGGCGACGGACCCGGGAGGGAGGTCACCGTGTGGTTGGTATGCTTCCTTTGGGGGCTTGTTGCCTCAGCCTGCGTCTCCTATTTGGACACTGTTAATATTGTTATATTAACAGAAAAGTGTATTAAAAAGAAACTCCTTAATCCATACCCCACAGTACTGATTTCTGCTTGTTGTTTTAATGATGTCCTCAGAGAAAGATTGGCCCTAAAGTTGAATTCTGGAATCCTTTCTGCGTCAGGTGACCGTGAGTCCTAAAATGCAACAAGACAGAAATGACTGTATTTGAGGGAAATGGGGCCCCAGAACAGGAATTCAAAGGGATTCAAAGATGATGTCATTTATCCTTATCCCCTCTAGGAATGACCTTGGTGAAAAGAAAAAAAGGGACATGATGGGAGAAACTACCTCTTGCTTAATTAGTTGATCTAACTCTGAGATCACTTGGTCACTAGCTTCACTGGTATCCAAGAATATGTGTTAGAATATGGCCTTTCTGAATTTGGCGACTGTGAAACTAGATTCAGTTCTTTCCAGTGGCTTTTGACGTATAACCTAATGCCTTCCCACTGACTCTGATCCAGAGAGTTCCAATTTCGATGGCCAGCCGACCCAGCAGTATGTTCCAGAGCGTGCCCTCCACAACCACATGGATTACTTTGTACATGCAGATGTGTTTTTGCAAACCTATTTCCAACCTTTCTTTAATAAGCAAATAAAATTTTAAAACAAGGTACATATGTTGATTCTTTTTATTTTATTCCATTTCTATATGTCACCTTAAACTTGTGTTGTCTTGGCTGAGGTTTAACCAGAAAAACGATGGCTGCCTTCCTTTGGACGCACATTCAGGCTTTCATTCATTCAGAGTGTGGTAGGACACTTAACAGAAAAAAAAGCAATTGTCTTGAGCCTAAGCGACTGGCAGAATTCTGTTATTCATTTATAACCCACCAGACAGCAATGACTGAAAGTGTAAGACTGATGCTAAATAAATATTTGCCTGAAAAACTTATCCTTTGGGCTTAAGAAAAACCTTTAAAACTCTAGGAAACAAAGAGGAGATGAGGTTGAATCTAATAGACTCTAATTCTAAACTATAATTTGCCTTTTGCTCATAAAGGAAAACACTTGTTGTTTGGTCGCTAACTCTTTGTGACCCCGTGGACTGTAGCCCACCAGGCTCCTCTGTCGGTGGGATTTCCAGGCAAGAATCCTGGAGTGGGTTGCCATTTCCTTTTCCAGGGAATCTTCCCAGACCAGGGATCGAACCCAGGTCTCCTGCATTAGCAGGTGGATTCTTTACCATTGAGACACCGGGGAAACCCATGCTTGAAGAAGATTTTGGGTTCTACTAATTGTTTGTTGAAAATAGAAACTTGAAAGAGAACCGTAAGCTGAGTGTACCCCCTTTTGCCTGTGGCTCTATTGACAGGCAGCTGCGGGAGCTGGGACGGGGCCCTTTCTCACCAGGAGCTGCGCTCTTCCTGAAGCAGCACTGACTCTCTAACTTCTTTGGGTCCCCTTACCACACAGCTTGGTTCAAGACCTTTTCATCCAAAATATTCAGACAAAAATGTCTACGTGTTGCCTTTGGGGATCCAGGTAATATTTTTTGGTGCCTGTGCAGGAAATGAAAGATGGTGAGCAGGTGACCAACAGTGGTTCCCTGCTAGTTACGCACATGCTTCCACACACAGAAAGCAGGGCTGATGAGAAGGGAAGCTTGCACAAGACTGGACGGCCTGACCCAGAGCCACCTGAGCGCTCACAGCTGAGGGGCTGCGTCCGTCACCGAGTTTCCTTGCACCTCAGATTTCTTGGTCTTAAACACGGGAGTAGAGAGGATATTCTATATGCTTTGGTCCTTGGAAATGCATGGACAACTGTGTCACTCAGAAGACACTCAAAGTTTGTTATAGGTGGTGAAAGATCAACCACTAGAGGTTCTAGACATTCATATCATTCTTGAATTGTGCAAATAAACTTGGCTTTGATTTTACTTAGTGATCTAAATTTGTTTATTTAAGTTACAGGAACATTTCATTAGTTTGAAATTTGTCATCAGTTGGACCCTGTTCATGAGATTTTTATTGAGTGAAATGTTCATAATAAAAGGTGTAATTCAAGTTCAAGATTTTTATGTTTACAATACTTTGCCTTGTAATAAAAGCTGATTCTGAAGTGCATTTTTATTGACTTACCTATTTTGGCAGGAATATACTGATATATTAACTTATACTTTATATCATTTCTGAAAGTAATCATTTCATAAAATGACATTGCTCTTCAGAATTTTAATTTGGTTAGAAACTCCTGATTTCTAGAATTACAGACTTGGGACAGAGTGATTGAAGAGTTCAGTTTAGGAGGTAATTGAGTGCGAGTTGAAGCTCGGAAGAGCAATCTTACGTGTGTGTGCGCGCGTGCTGAGTCGTGTCCGACGCTTTGTGACCCTATAAACTGTAGCCTGCCAGGCTCCTCTGTCCATGGACTTTTCCAGGCAAGAATCCTGGAGTGAGTTGCCATGTCCTCCTCCAGGGGAACTCCCCAAACCAGGGATTGACTGAACCACCGTCTCCTGCATTGCAGGTGGATTCTTTTCTGCTGGACCACCCGGGAAGTCCCCAGTTATTCCAGACTAACATTTAATTTCCACCTTCTCTCAACTGTCTCAAAGAAGTGCTGTAGTCATATGCTTTGAAATCAGACCAGGCTCGTCTTCCTGTGTGAGGCCTTCCCTGAACCCCCCCACCACCTGGTAACCTCCATGACCACGGCCCTGCCACCCCTGCTGACCTAGTTTGTTCTCTGACCTCCGTGCTCCCGCTGTACCCGTGAGCACTCTCTAGGAGGCGTCAGGCCGCCCACAGTGTGCTCGGCCCTTGACTGCTGTGCAGAGGCTCTCTGTAGAGTCACCCCATGCTAGCGCAGTGCGGCTTGTCATCGGAGTCAAACCCTGCACCCCGTCTACAGTGGGAAGAGTAACTTTGCTCTCACTATAAGCCGGAACATTCGGGAGACAGCAGTGATGCCCAGGAATGTGTGATCAGCTCCCTGCTGCTGCCGTTGCTGCTGCTGCTAAGTCGCTGCAGTCGTGTCCGACTCTGTGCGACCCCATAGACGGCAGCCCACCAGGCTCCCCGTCCCTGGGATTCTCCAGGCAAGAACACTGGAGTGGGTTGCCATTTCCTTCTCCAGTGCATGAAAGTGAAAAGTGAAAGTGAAGTCACTCAGTTGTGTCCGACTCTTTGAGACCCCACGGACTGCAGCCCACCAGGCTCCTCCGCCCATGGGATTCTCCAGGCAAGAGCACTGGAGTGCGGTGCCATTGCCTTCTTCGGATCAGCTCCTTAGAAGCTTGCAAATCAGATCTGTTAGGTATCTCGGAATGTGGGGGAGAGGTTTTTAAACAGAAACAGAGTCACAGGGGTAGAAAACAAAGGCGCGGTCCCCAGGGGGGACACTAGGGAGAGGGGTAAGTTGGGAGATTGGGGCTGACATATATACATGGCTGCATACAAAAGAGGCAGCTGACAGGGACCTCCTGAGCGGCACAGGGAGCGCTGCTTCACATTCTGTGATGACCTGTGTGGGGATCGAGTCTAAAAACGAGCGTGGGTGCATGTGCGTGTAACTGATTCACTTTGCTGTGCGCCTAAAACTACAGCATTGTAAGTCAAATATATTCCAATGAAAACGAGAGCAGCCAGAGAGTTACCCACTCTGTGCATTTTAAGGGACTTTAAGGAAGCCTTCCATCTTCAAATTTTAGAAATATGCATCACTAATAAATACTTATAATAAGTAAATAAACCTTGTCTTTCTGTAAATGTATTCCTGTGTTCATGTACTTGTCCATCTCTGGGCATCCATCCATCCATCAGACTTTTAATTAGTATCTACCATGGGTTCAGAATTCCATGGACAGAAGAGCCTGGTGGGCTACAGTCCATGGGGTCGGAGAGTCGGACGTGACTGAGTAACCTTCACTTCACGGGGGTTCAGCCGTGTGTTATAGTGGAGGGGGAGTAAAGGCAAGCTTGCTGATGTAGGTTGCTTTAAGCTGAAGCAAGTAAGGTCATTTGGACAAGGCTGGAAGATCTATCGCATGAATAAATGTTCAGATTTCTGCCTGAAAGCAGCAGGAAGTCAGTGGGGGTCTTTAAGTAGGTAAGTGACCTGACTGGCCTTCTTACTTGAAGGCACAGTTTTTATGTGGTGTATGACAGGCTGGTGTGGGGAAAGAGCAAGAAGGAGAAAGACATTTAAGGACGACCTCCCATATACTAGCTTCTGTTCTGGATGTATTAAGTTGACTTGCACAAGATAGCTTAAGTGTTCCCTTTTTACAAATGATCAAACGCACTAAGTAGAAAGTCCAGGGTGATACACATCTCTGGAAGGGACAAAGGAAGGATTCTCACGGGTTTGTTCCCCTGACTCATGGCCCCTCCGTTAGCGGGGTTGTCATAACCTGAATGGACTTTCTGGCCAGCCCGATACATCCATCCCGCGATGCCTGGTGCAGGGGTTCAGTTGACAGGCTGGACCGTGGTGATACGGGAGTGAGGGGAGCGGCTTTAACTGCTGAGGGAGAAGGCTGCGGGCAGGTCCTGATGACCTAGGACAGGAGGCTGGGCGATGATAGGCAGAGGGAAAAAATGGCTTCACGACGGCAAGTCTGGGAGGTTGAGTGAATGGGAATTTCACTGAGACAGAGACTTGAGGAGGAAAGGAGAGTGATTTTAGAACAGCAAGCTGGTTTGAGGTGGTTCTGCTTTTCTCAGAGTACAGTGTTAACGGGATAGTAGCTCAAGGGAATTGAGGTGGGTGGGGAATGATGCTGGATGACTAATTCAGACTGTGACAGCTGTCAGGACTGAGTCCCTGTGGGCCTGTCCACCATAAGAAGGGCTGTGCAAATGCAGAATGGACGTTTCCAAGGACTGAACCAAAATATTTGGTTTAAAAAGTAACTTTTTGTTCTGATTTGATGTAGCATTGGAAACACTGATGCAAATGGTGCACTTGTGCTAAACAAGCTCAGAGTTTAGATAATTCCTTTGAAACAAAGTTCTGGTTATTCTATACTCTCTAGAATAACTATCCTTAACAACATTTAACTGCATGAATATATTTGCAACAGTTTTACATTATTTATCAGACTGAATAATTGTATTAGAAGTTTGGCTGACACAAGATGCTTGAAGTCTTGATAAAATTAAAAAAGTAAGGTGCAGAACAATATTACAATATTATTAAATATGATAATTTATAATTAAATATTATAAATTATTATACAATACTATTCTGTTCTATCCATATTGAAAATTGGGACGAATAAACTCCAGACACTTAACCATGCTTACCTCCTGGTTACGGGCTTGTGCAGAGTGTTACTTTCACTTAACTGTTCCTGTTTAACATTTCTCTATTGTTTGAAAAGTATTTTGCAATAAACCTGTGCACTCAGAAGCTTAACACTTTACAGGAAAATCACAGAAGATTTCAGAGCAAAATTCTCCCTTACAAAAATAATCTATCAGCTTTTTAATACCCTTATCATAATAAATGATATGAGTGAATGAAGGAGTCACCAGTATTTAGAAAAACAGAGGCCGTGATTGTTTTAAAAGCAGAACCGAAGGGTCAGTGGGAGGGGTGGGCCGATTTGCTTGTTCCTAGGTGCAGAAATGTTAGTGATGGTTTATTTTCTCTGTATCTTCCTAATAAAAAACATGTGCTGGCATGAATAGCATATTTCATTGTTTCTAGAATGTTTAATTACATTTGATCTTATTGATTAAAAAGGTTACCATGACCAGTATAGTGAAATTGAACTTTCCTAACTTAAAAGAAGTTTTATAACAGAATCCTGAGAAGTGAAAATGTCTTTTCTTCAGGTTGAGATGAACTTCACACTGTAACAAAACTAAGCTGAGTCAGATAGAGAATGTGCACTCACTGAAGACATTCATCTCCATTTTTCACCGTCCTGAAATCTGACCCAGAGTCGTGACTCCTGATAAAACTGTATCCCCATCATATCCTAAATTAAAGCTCATGTCACAAAATCGTTAACCAGCTCAGCTTTCACTCTGAGAAATCACTGTTATTTGAGTGTGATCAGATATTGAATAGATGTGTTGAAGAGAATTTGGTTATTAGAAAATTCATGTGTTTTCGCCTTACCTATCCTTTCTCACATATATGGTTATATTTCTGAGTGGGCAGGTGTGCAGACTGAAAGGACGGAACTTCACAGCGCTCTTTGGCAAACACTCCGGTTATCAGATCTGGACACCACGAGCAGAAGCCCTGCTAGCTAAACCTTCGTCTCTGGCTGCCTGCTCCCATTCTTGGAGTGTTGCCAACGAGTTCTGTCTCTGATTTCACTCGAGTGTGAGCATGTTTCATCAGACCAGCAGAGAGCCACAATTCTGAGGGCGATAGACAACAGAAAAGCTAAAAAGTGGATGCAATTCAGAAGCTGACTGCGCAGGTGGCAGTTCTGTGTGGGTTATCCACAGCACTGGGGCAATTTACCGTTCTCCTGAAATACCCACAGTCCACACCTGCAGTGCTTACTGAAGGAATCGGATCTGTACCTGCAAGGCTGAAGATGGCTTTCGAGAATTGGAGAGTGATCCAAGGGACGGTGAACCGGGTCTCCCATCTCCCCAGCAGCTTGGCCGTGTGCAGACAGACTGAGGGTTTCTGCTGGCACAGCTGAGCAAAGATTACGGCTTGGACACCATTTCTGAACCTTAATATCTCCTTGTTTTCATTTGGAATTTTTATGCCTGTCAGTCACTGACTGCAGCAAGGTCAGCGGAGTTTGGAATCCGCCACCTGCTTCGTTACTCACGGGTGTTGTACCACCAGGCATGCTCAGCTGTGTCTGACTCTTTACGACCCTCTGGACTGTAGCCCACCAGGCCCCTCTGTCCATAGGATTCTCCAGCAAGA